ATAGTGGACACCCTCATTGCATTCCTGAATTTAGAGGAAATGCTTTCAATTTTCCTCATACAATATAATGTTGACCATTGGTTTGTCATATGCATGATCCTTCTATTCCTAGTTTCACCAAGTCTTTTATCATGAAGGGATGTTGTATTTTTTCAAAGCTTTTTTTTTGCATCTACTCATATGATTCTTAAAGTTCTGTTTATGTTCTGTGTTACATTTTTGATTTGCATATGTTTAACCATCCTTACATCCATGCAATGAAACTAAGTTGACCGTGGTAATCTAGGTTGATTGTGTTTTTTTCATGGATGGAAAAAACATCATTCCATGGCCTCCTGGCTTTTAGTTTCTGTTGAGAAATCTGCTGTTATTCTGATGGGTTTGCTTTTATATATGCACTCCCATTTCTTTCTTGATTCTTTCAACATTCTTTCCTTTTCTGTATATTTAATGTTTTAGCTAGGTTATGCCTTGAGGATGTTTTTTTCTTGTCTTGTCCAATTGGTGTCCTAAAAGCCACCTACACTTGAATGACCATCTTTTTCTGAAGATTGAGAATATTTTCTGCTATTATTTTATTGAATACATTTCTATGCTTTTAGCTTGCATCATCTCTCCTTCTATGCCCATGATTCATAGGTTTTGTTTTTTTCTTCCTAGAGGTCTTTTATGTTCTGCTTGTATTTTCTTTTTTCCATTTTTTATTAGTATATGTTCATCATACAGAGGGGATTCATTGTGACAATTTCATATGGGCTTATATTGCACGTTGGTTAGATCACCTCCACCATATCTCCCCTTTGACCCCCTCCCCACCCCAGTTAAAACTATTGCAAGAGGTCTCTTTGTTCTTTTTTGCATAAGTATATGAAGTCTTCCTTCAACTTAATCTCTTTCATTCACCCTCCCTCCTCCTATAAGCTCTCTGCAGTAGTTAGAATGATAGTCATGTCACTCTGTCTACCTATCCCCCCTTGACCTGGGGTCTACAAACTTTTGCCTGGACTGGCCAGGAACCATGATTCTTCTGATCTTAACCTCCTGCATAGCTTGGGATGACAGGCACAGGCCATCATGCTCAGCTATTGGTTGAAATGTGGTTGTGTGAACTTTTTGCCTGGACTGGCTTTGAACCATGATCCTCTTGCTTTCAACCTCCCAAGAAGCTAGGATTAAAGATGTGAGCCACCAGAACCTGACTTATCTTCTTCCTCTTAGCTCCTTTTAATTTTTGAGTTTGGTAATCCTTTCTTCTACCATTCTTCTGTTGAACTGTTCTGTTCAATTTTTGAGTTTAATTATTGTGTTCTTCATTTTCATGATTTCTTTTTGACTTTTAAATATTTTCTATTCTGTTGAAATTCTCACTTTCTCATTTATTGCTCTTATGACCTCTGTGAACATCTTTATGACCATTATTTTGAACTTCCTTTGAGATAATTCACTTAATTTCATTTCTTTGGAGTTATTTTCTGGAGATTTAACTTGTCCTTTTCTTTGAAGTATATTTCCCAGTGTCTTTTTCCTTTTTCACTCCTATGTTGGCTTCTGCACATTAGACAAAACATGTATACTCCCAGTCTTCAGTAACTGGCCTAATGTAGGAAATTAACCCTGTCAATCTGCCTACCCTGAGATTCCTAGTGCCCCTCTAATTTTGTGCTCACCTAAACCATTGCTTTTTTTTCAGTGGTCTCCAAGAGACCCAAGCCAGGTAAGATAGAATAAACTCCCTCAAATGGTGTCAGAAAAATTGGGGTGCTGGATATATAGTGCAATTTCTTCTTTTGGCTAGGATAAGCTGGGAGCTGGATTTTTTTGTCTGCTTGTTTTGCACTGAGCCTGAGCCAGAGCTGTGACACATGCTTACTGTCTTACTCAGACTACACATTCTTTCAACGTATGTCTTTGCTCTCTGTCATTCCCAGTGGGCTAGTGAATGCTGGGTCCCCTCAGCTCTCAGAAACAGGTAAGATAGGAGCGAGAATCTCAGGTAGCATCTGTAACAGTTGGGGGACCCACAAGGGTAGTCCGGTTTTCTAGGGAGATGCTGGATTCTTGGTATTATCACTGAAGAGAGTTGGAGGGAGGAGCTGTGCTCAGAGTTTGTCCATTCAACCTCCCACAGATGAGAGGTTTTTTTTTTTTTTTTTTTTTTTTGAGATAGGATATCTTTAGGTAGCCCAAGCTGGCCTCCAACTCTCTACATGGCCCAGACTGGCTCCAAACTCACAATCATCCTGCCTCAGCCTCCTGAGTACTGGAACACTGAGCGCACACAACTACACTCAGTCATATTTTTGAGATGACATATTAAAAATTGCTCTAGGGTTTAAAAAGTACACTTTAAGGTTTCAAAATTCACGTGATTTGTTCTGGCTTAATTCCATTGAGATACAGCTTATATGTCTTTATTCCCTTTTCCCAGTTTGTAATATTGTTATACATATTCATCTATGTATGTTATGATCCCTTACATAAAATTATTACTTTATGTATCATTTGTCTTATAAAAAGTCTGATAGGCAAATGAATAAGAATACATTTTGAAAGTTTGTTACATTAACATTTTTTAAGGCTACATGGAACACATTTATTAAGGAAATGGACTTTAAAATGCATTAACAATAAACAAACAGAAACCTTAGCATATCCAGACACAGCATCAACATTCAGGAGTAAACTGGAAGTGCAGAGATAAGGCAGAGTAGAAGTAGCACTGGATCAGGAACCCACAGACCAGGGATCTTTTTAAGAGTTTATCTTTAAGCCTCCTTCAGCTTTGTGGAACCTCGGTTATGATTCTCATTTCCACTGATTAAATCAGGGAGGTTGCTCTAGATCATCTCTAAGTCACTTTTCTAGCTCTAACGATTTTTTATAAAAATTTTTATTACATATATTGTACTAGTTGTACAAGAGGTTCCTTGTGACATATTCGTATATATTTACAATGAACCTTGATTAGGTTTACTCTCACCATCATTCTCCCCCATTCACCAGTCCCCTGCGTAAAATGATTTCAACACTCCATTTTCATACAAGCATATAAAATAGAGTACATTCATCCTCTTCCACTCTCTCCATTTCTCCTCCCCATTCCACTCATTTCTGCCCCCTAATAGGACCTGTTTTTAGGTTACTGTCCTTCATTTTTTAGGTGTGTATTCATTGTTCAAAGAGGTTTCACTACATTAACATTCAGTTACAATTCTCTTCTTCCAGTGAATTTGTGGTACCATATAGTATCATTTGCTTAATCATTGCTTACTTACTTTTGAAATGTGGAAATGTATTTCTCTGTTACAATTATGCACATATTTTTATATGCATAAAAATCAATTGACTTGGAATATTAGATATTCAATTATACTGTCTTTTATAGTTTCCTAGATTTTTATGTTTTCTGAACTATTTTCTTCTTTGAAGTGTAGTTGAGTTCATTTCTTACATCATTTGTTTTCAGCCTTAAGTACTTACTTTAGGATTTTGGGTATGATGGGTTAGATCCCATCACATTTTCTGTTTTTCTTATCTGAGAATTTCTTCATTTCATATTCATGTTTGAAAGATAATTTTTCTGTGTATGAAATTCTTGACATTATAAGTATTTCTATTTTTTTAAGTACTGAGGATTGAACCCAGGGCTTCATGCATGCTAGGCAAGTGTTCTGCTGAAGTGTCCCACGAGCTCTTACTGTTATTATTTTCAACTTAAATGCTAATTTAAAAATTAACTTATGTTAATTGTACAAAATAAAGGGTTTCAATTATGACATTTCCATACATGCATATAATGTTCCTCATACTATTTGTAGATATTATATTTTAATGAATAATAGAATGTAATACTTATGTAAAACAATAAAGCTTCTAGAATATAATTATTATTTTAAAACTCCTGCTCCATTTTAAGATTTAATTTTTGTCTCCTTTTGTTACCTGTATCTTTCATATGGTAAAACTACATGTATATTCATATTTATATTGACCAATTTTTGCTTTGTTTCTCACATCTGAAGATCTGTGTCTTTATTAATTCTGGAAAACCAGTAGAAGTTACTTCTCTAAATATCTCCTGCAGCACAGTCCCTCAAAGCATGTGTAAATAGATCAACAGAACTTTCTGGAGCTTGTATTAAATATATTTTGGATTATTCTTTTTAGTCTTTTGTGATTCCTAATCTTTTTCCTTCTTTTTAATTTTGTTGTTTTAAGAAATGCATTTTTTTTGTTCTGTGGGAAACCCTTGAACCTATCTTCTGATCAACTAATTCTGTTGCTTAAGCTATCCCTTGAGTTTCAATCAGTATACATTATATGTATAGATATTTTTCAGTTATTTCACAAATGCTTCTTTTTCTTAACATTGTATGCTTCTTTTTTGTATTTTTTGATCTCTATTAGATTATTGTTTTATTTAAACATCCTGCCCACGTGAATGCCAAGGTAATCCATTCTACTTGAAGGGACAATGCAAATGACATATGGATACTTTCCATAGTGACTACTGTGTATTACTGTCAAAACTCTTAGGAGTTAATATAATAGAACCTTAGTGAACCTCTAAATAGTGACAGAGCACTGAGATCCAGGAGTCTGTCCTTAATGCTTGGATACTATTTAATATTCCAAACTCAAGTGTAACTAATGAAAAGATGAGGAAGAAATTCAACATTTACTACCTTCCCATTACTCTCATAAAAATGAACCAGGATAGGAAATTAAGTTAGATTCTTTAAATTTGGAGAAATTTACATTTTTTTCACACCTGGCTTTGTAGGGTGAGATTTTAATCTACTATATGGATTATATATGAATTATTTATGAATTACAAGAGTAATGTTCATTGTTTTTGTTGCTCAGAGTCTATTCATAGGGCCACTTTCCTGTATGTAAGTCTTCCCATAATAATTTTGTTTTAGCTTTAATTTCTTGATTCTCTGTTGTTTCTTCCAACATATTGTGATGTCTTTCAAACAGGAATGAATGGATATGATTCAACAAAAGAAGTAGTCTTTTCTTCTTTGAAAAATCTTTCTTAGAGCTGCCTTCATGGACTCATTTCTCAGGCTATAGATTATTGGATTGAATGTTGGGGGAAGAACAGTATAAAAAACAGTGAGTAAAATGTCTAATGCAGATGGAGATTCGGAATGTGGCTTTAGAAACTCAAAGACACCAGTAGATAGAAACAATATGACAACACATAAGTGTGTCAGGCAAGTAGAAAAGGCTCTGTCTCTGCTCTCAGAAGATGGTGTTCTTAGCACAGTAGAGAATATACGTATGTAGGTAAGTCCAATAGAGATGAAGCAAAAAAACGCCATCAAGGACAGGAAGCCCGCAACACCAAGCTCACTGACATATTCATTGGAACAAGAGAGTTTCAGGATCTGGGAGGCATCACAGAAGAACTGATGAATAACATTGGCACCACAGAAGTGGATGGAGAAAGTAGCCGCTGTATGCATGACTCCAGAGATGATTCCACTGGCCCAGACAGCTAGCACTCCACAAACACAGGTCCTGGCGTCCATGATGGCTTCATAGTGCAGTGGAAGGCAGATGGCCACATAGCGGTCATAGGACATTATTGTGAGCATGGCCATTTCAGTGGAACCACAGACAGTGAATGCAAAACACTGCATTATGCATTCCCAGAGGGAAATATATCTACTGTGCATGAAAGAATTGCAAATGGACCTTGGCACAGTCACAGAAATGTAGCACAGATCCAAAAGAGAAAGATGTTTCAGGAAAAAGTACATAGGTGTATAGAGACTGTGGTTCATAGAAGTGGCAACGATAATGAGAACATTACCAGTTAAAGCCACCAAATATAAGGCTAAGAAAAAAGAACCAAATAATATTTCTAACTCAGGTTTTCTGGGAAACCCCATGAGGAGAAATCCAGTCATTGTAGTGAAATTAGCCATATTCCTTTTTGATTTCTGAGAGCGAAACTAGCTGTAAGAAGAATGAAAAACTCCTAACAACACAATTTTAGTTATTCAAGAATCTAATCCATTTACTCAGTAACATTAATGCACGAAGACAGGGCTACCAGTCTATCATTGTGAAGTGTGAAGCAGCTTTCCCGTTAAGAATTAGTTGAGCAATTTTCATTCCATCATGAGGAGGATGTGTAGATTATACATTTTAATGTTACTCATTTCATGATAAGAAGGAAAATATATTTAATTGGACATACACTATCTAATTCAGTTCACACATCCATTCATAGATAAATTTTTAGAGAAGTTTTTGAGGAACCTGTTTTTTCCCATTAATCTTTCTACCATAAAAGCATGAAATTAAAACACTTTCATTACATGTAATAATTGTACATATTTTAAAGTGATATTCAGTACATGTATGATATGTAATGATCTCTTTTATACCGCTATGGCCACCTGATTCAATTGCTTCATTAAGAGAGAAAACATTCTTCATGTTTTTTTTCTTTTTATCCTATGCATTCTTTGGAAAAATAAATAAATAAAATTCAAAGTGTATTGCATATTGATAATATCTGTGAAAGTTTTATACAGTCATTATCCTTATCATAAAATATATAAGTTCTATTGAAAAATCCTAATTTTGCATTAGAAAAATGATAAAAGCCTAGGCTTTTCTTACTGTATTTTACAAGTAAAAATAAAATGGCTAATGATCTTAATATTATTCAACCTAATTTTTAATTAAGTAAAGCTCGAAGTACTAATGAAATTCAGTTTTTGTGCCAATCAAATTAGCAAAAAATTTTAAAACTAAAATTTTTTTGAGTATGAAGTGAAGTATGATTTTATCATGCTCAGATGGTCAAATTTGTGTAAACTTTCTGGCAAACAACAACTTATTCACAAAAGACTTAAAACTGCCTTTTCTCTAAAGCAATTAATTTTATGCTTAATAATTAATTCATCATAATAATGGGTATTTAAGGAAAACTATATTTAGAATTATTACAGTTGCAAAAAATTGGTAATTCTTTTAATATTCAATAGTAATATTCAATAGTAATATTGAATATTAAATTAATTTTCTAATATTTAATATTTGTAAATATTCAGTTTAACATTAAGAATTGCCTAATAATTTAGATGGCATTACAATTATTGCTTAAGTCATTTTTCATGAAATTGAATAATGATTATTATTATATAATTATTAATATAATTATATAATAATTGTTATTATATTAATAATTATTATATTATTATTATATAATTATAATTATAATTATATAATAATTATTATTATATTAATATATAATTTAATAATTATATATTATTATAAAAGCACAACACATTATGTAAACCATATTAATCATAATAAAAAAGAATCTATGCAAATATAGCACATGAAAACAGGAATTATTTCCTGATGGTTTAAATGTTTTTTATCTTGACTCTCCCAACTCAGAGACACAGGGACAATCAAACTTTCTGTGCTAACTCCAGACATGTGCCTATGCTAGATTTCATAGGTGTGTGTGCACTTTATTAATCACAGACACTGAAGGCATCTAGAAGTTATATGGCATTTTTCTGGAGAAGCCTCTATTTCTGTATGTCCAGGAAAAAGTTGCTAATGTTTCTGTCACATACACAACATAATGGCCTTAACTCTACATATTCTATGTATAAAGAAGCATTGTTTGGCTTATCCTATAGTGTCCAAATTTGTGTTTCCATTAATTAATGGTACTATTGACATTAACTGATACACCAGTCATATGTGCACTAGAATCATTTGAAGTTTTTATTTTCTCTGTTATACCTTTCTATGTGTTTCTATTTTTATCTCTCAAGTACTTACATATTTTTTATTAATATGTTAATCTATTTGTGATACTATGGCATATTAATATCTAGCCCTTATTTAATTCATTATTTATCACATATATCTTTGGTATCACAGATAGAACCAGAAAAATGAATGTGTGCTATTGATAGGTACTTTCTCAACGTAGTTTCTTCTTTTTAATTTTTGATTTATGAAATATTAATAATAGGAGGGAGTTTCATTGTGATAAGTCCATACAGGTATACAGTGTAGTTTGAACAAGTTCACCCCGTCAATTATATTCCCATTCCCCCTCTCCCTCCTAAGGCTCCTCTTTCTTTACAAGAGATAAGGATATTCATAAGGTAAAACCACGGTGTCTAAAACCATTATATCAATATGGGAGAGAATAGGACCATTTTTTTTCTGTAAAGAAATTGCAGGTCTTCTTGCTTTTTTTCATTTGAATATTACTGCAGAATTTAGCATTTTATTCCTAACCCCATTGTTTGTTGTCTCCTACTTGCTCACTGTCATTTCAGAAAGAGGACACTCACATTTCCATATGTCTCTTATCTTAGTTTTTAGGTGAATATTGATGGCATTAGAATATATCAAAATGTCTTATATGAAGAGTCTAATGATTTTGAAATTTACTTCTCCATGTAAGTTCTTTTCTACTTTCCTTGAAATATGAATGCAAGCTTGACCATTCTGGCTTTTTCTGCATCATGTCTACATAAGAATTTCTGCCTATGAAGTGAAAGCTGGATGTCTGGTTCTGACAGGAAGCATAATCTTGCCATGTTTATCCTCTTAACAGTTTCTCCCTATAGAGTTTTATTTTGTGAACATGGAGAATATTGTTATTTAGCTAATGTAATATTTTGAAGTTGAAACAGTTTGAAGACCTGTTGAAGAATGGTTTGAAAAATCTTGCATCTTTTAGAGTCAACTAATAATAAGAATATGAGGAATAATAAGAGTGTTATCCCATGGTCTATATATCCCAAATTTCTTCTTTAATAGCAGCACAAAGAAATTCATTGCTGGAAGGATAGAGATTACATGTCACAAAATGCTTTTGAAGTGGAAGGAAATTAAAGTTTTCTTTTTTTATTCCTAGTTTTATTTTTAAAAACATCTATAGTTAATAACTTTTTAGTCAACTTTTCTGAGCTAAATGTCAATGTCTGTTTTTATCCTATCTGCTCAAACTCTGTAATTCATTTGATTTGCATTATTCTGCATAACAACCCTTTTTTTTGTGTATATATTTTTTTAGTCAGGGTGTTTATGTAACCCAAGCTGGACTCAAACTCAGGATCCTCCTGCTTTAGCCTCTTCAGTGTTAAGGTTACAAGAATTGTCACCATCCTCTGCTAGTATATATCCCTTTTGAGAATCCAAAGAAACTCACCTAAGTACATTCAGGAATTTCCTTCTCAAACTTGGGGAAAAATCTGTCAGAGTATCAGCTATCATTTAGCAGAAGGTTGAGATTTTTTGTAATTCAGTGCCTTAAAATAAGATCATTTCAATTCTTTTTTGGCCACAGGAGGCCAAGCAGTAAAGCTCCTCTGACACTAATGAGAAGATCCCTTAGGTACTCTGAGTATTTGGAACTTCTTGTGATTATCCTGAGGCTGAAACCTGTACTTCTGTGGTGTTCTTCCCTCAGTGTTATATATTGATCTAAGTTAATGGTCACACCTAGTTAATTGGACTGTCAGTTTATTTGTGTCCACTAAATCAAAGCATTGTGGTTTTTTTGGAGGGGGGTAAAGAAAGCCCAATAAAATGGAGTTAACTCTTGTGTTTAGTTTGTTCTTTAAAAAGACAATGCATATTTAGAGACTTCATCTACTTAAGCACCTGGAAAGCAGAGGCATCTTGGGTTGTGAGATTCTCATGCTTCCATTTTAGATATTGCTATATACTCATAGAATTCTAGCATTGAGAAGAAATTTTAGAGATCATCTTGGCCAACATATTATCAAAAAATTAGATTTATTTTTTACTTATCTATAGCTTGTCATTCACTCCTTCTTTGAATAGTATACTTAGGGGACCTCATTCCATCTTTAAGACTCCATATTTTAGAAACTCAAGAGGTGAAAATCTTTTACAGTGCTTCCATTTTAATAAATTTGACCTTAATATCTGAAAGGACAGATCTGGTGTTATGGCTTCATCATTTAAAAATTAAATTATGTAATAATTATACACCATTAATGGGATATTTCAATATATGTACACAGCTTATGCTGATCGAATCAGGGAATAAGCATTTCTAGCCTACCGTTTGTTTATGATTTAGTCTTCAAGCTCCTGTTTTCTAGTTCTTCATAAAACACATGGTAGGCTATTGTGAACTGCAGTCCTGCTAACATGCTATGGAACACTAGATGCTATTCCTTCTGCTGCACTGACTTTTGGCACCCATTATCCAACCTCCCTCTTTGCTTCCTCTTCCCAAACTTCCCAACCTCCAGCAATCACTGTCCAACATTTAGAGTGATTCTTTTTAGCATCCACATTTGAGAAAGAGAGAGCATACAGTATTTGTCTTTCTCTATCTGGGTTATTTCATTTAACATAATGTCTTCTAGTTCCATCCATTGTGCTGCAAATGAAAGTATTTCATTCTTTTTTTATGGATGAATGAATAATATTCCATTGTATATGTACACCACATTTTTATCATATAAAATAATGGGTTTCATTATGACATTTTCATGTATGTACACAATGTTCTTTGAATATATTCACCCCTCATCATCCTCTGTATCTTTCTCATTTCTCATTGGTTCTCCCCCAAATAGTCTCTCCTTGATATTCATGTCTTTCTTTCTATTTTTTTTACAAAGATTGTACACATTACTTTGTTAATTTGTAAAATGTACTTGAGAAACATTTACACATCTCATGTTTTTCTTTTGTCTATTGTTTTTAGATCTGTGTTTCACATATGAGAGAAAACTTGGTATTTGTCTTTCTGAGTCTGACTTCTTTTACTTAGCCTGATCTTCAGTTCTATCCATTTTTTTCTGCAAATGGCACAATATCATTCTTCCTTATGACTGAATAGTACTCCATTACATATATATGCCACATTTCTTTATTCATTCATCTGTTGATGGGCACC